AAAGGACAATCAGATTTATTGCTGTTTGTCTTACATTCACTGTTATAACATACTGAGAAACTGTACCTGAAATTCAGCCATACTTCATGTGAGCATCTGATAGTTCATGAAAACATGCTTGTTAAACTTCAGAGTGAGATGACAGTAGTGCTTGAATAATATGGTAACTTTTAATGGTTTCTTATGATGAGTCTTTGAGGAAAGGACAATCAGATTTATTGCTGTTTGTCTTACATTCACTGTTATAACATACTGAGAAACTGTACCTGAAATTCAGCCATACTTCATGTGAGCATCTGATAGTTCATGAAAACATGCTTGTTAAACTTCAGAGTGAGATGACAGTAGTGCTTGAATAATATGGTAACTTTTAATGGTTTCTTATGATGAGTCTTTGAGGGCTAAAACAATCGAACCTCAAATCTGGCATATAAATGTGTAAGCATTTCAAAATCTTAATGTGGAAGCCCAGCGTGTGTTTTGTTAGACTTAGAAGTGCACCTTTGGATACGTATGTACATAGTTTTTTACAATGTGCATTTGAATGTCAACTGTTTAATCTTTTAAAATTTTAATAGTGCACTTGTATTTAAGGTGTTTAAAACAACTGGCCCTTGTTAATGCATGTTATGGATGCTGTTATGGATGTTTTTGTGAGCCTGTAACTCAAACTGTTACCAGAGACCTCTATGAAGTCATTTAGGCAAAATGCTGAGCCTGGCTGAACAAGTTGTTCCATTTTAACTATAACCAGTACAGTTAGCTGGACATTCTCTATATTACAAGTTGAACTTCACTCATCCAGTACCCTCGGAACCTGGCCAGTGCCGAACCACAGGAGATTAATATTGTCTAGCAAGAGTGCCTCTGCAGGCCAGATCTGGCCTGTCAAGCCAGTGGATCCATCCCATAGCCATCCTGCCGATCCCTCGCCCATAGGCCAATCAAGATGTGGAAATGGGAGCAAAGTCTCCTTCCCCTGCAAGGGGTACACAGCAGCTAGAAGGAACCACTGCCTGTTGTAAAACAGCTGGTGGTTCTCTCTAGCCACCGCACGTCCCGACAGGGTGGGGGCAAGTGGTGAGAGATGAGAGCATGAAGAGTCTCCAGAGGAAGTCCAAAATCTCTTTACTAATTCTAGGATCCCACATACGCTTGGCAGCATACTAAAAATTTAACTTAAATTGCTACTGCATCAGTTAAACAAATGCAGAATATAAAGTCAAATAAGTAAACCTTAAAATGGAATCTCCACTAATGTATTTCCCAAAGTTACCCTTTATAAGCGTAAGGGTGACATCACTGTATTTGGTTTATAAGTAATGGAAACTGAAGATGCTCTTAGAGACACCATCCAGGAAGATGTGCTTAATTTTAACTTACATTATCAGCTCTATTTTGTCTTCCTCTACTTTGCCTATCTGCTCAATTTGTGGGCAGTTCTGTTTGTGGAATGAAATAAACTGCATCAGGCTTTTTTGTCTGCATTTTTACATCTAAATATTAAACAGCTGAGTTATTTGGTATGCAAATTATGGATATCTGAATCCATTGACTAACCAACACTAGTCAGAGGTGACAGTTAACTGAATTTCTCAGTCCAGTGAATCAGAGGGCGTTAACGTTAAGGTTAGTATATTTTAAAAAAGACCCCTGCTTTCCTCTACACTGTTATTTGCAACCTTTTAAAGCAGCACAAACACCCATAATCATCTTTTTTTAAAGTGACTACAAGATGGTGACAGATTATGAACATTAAATGGACATGGTTAGTTATAAAATGTAAAGTAAAATTCTCTTCTGATAACCTTCTGTTACTATAGCTTTAGTTTAAATTTGCTTCAACGTATTATTGACAATATTCCAATATGATACTTTCAGTGTAAAAATGCTTAATGAAGGCCAGCTGTTGGCATCTTCAGTTTTACAAAAATATAAATCTGCACTGAGTGAACTAGAATCTATATGTATTGTGGCTTTAAATGTGGTAATTGCATATTACAGTTCACAGGCAGGCAAATAACATCAATATGCTAAAAGAAGGCATGAAGATTGAAGCCACTCATGTGAAGAAAAAGCAACTGCATTATTATTTGCCTGCTGAAATATTACAAAAAAGAAAGAAGGTATGATGAAGTTTTGACCCTTCACAAAATATTTGTATGTGTGCGTATCCTTTTATTTAAAAAAAAAACCCTATATCCTGTAACCTTTGTTTTCAGCAAAGCATACCGGACATTGGGCGGAATATTAGTGGATTTCCATCCACACGGGTTTCAGTGGATGGAAGCTCTTTGGATGGTTTCACTAACACAGACACTGGAACACGATATAGCTCCCCTTCTTCATTGAACAGGATCTCTAAATTGGACACCTTTTCTCTGATAGAAACAGAAAGGTTAGCAGTATGTAAGATTGTTCCAGTATGCCTTGTAGCAATGTGAAGTGCTTTCAAAGGATAACTTTGACTTTTTTAGTGTGGACACGTTTGTTGGGCAGTCCTTACTTTTTTCAGTTGTCGTTGTCGTGGCACGTAAATTAAGTCATTGATTTCTTAAATGTTTGGGGTCTTGCATATTACTCATGTATTTTGTAAGACTGTATAATCTACAAACTTTGAAGGGTAATGACTATGAATAAACAGAAATGGCAGCAGAAACTTAAAGGGACTTGGTAACAGAAATCAACTGTCTTCATGTACAGAATATGTATTTTTAGGCTAGTGGATAATTCAAGGAGACTGGTAACAAGTGTACAATTAAGAGACTGTGTTTGTAACCTGAAATATATAAAAACCATGCAATTTTTATTGAACAGGAATACTGTACTTCAGAAAACCAATGCTGCTACCAGTAGGGAGAAGCCATTGAATGTCACCTTGCCATCACTGCCTGTTAAAGGACTGTCCATTCCAGTGATTGGTTCAAGTATGTATCCAAACATAGTAAGGAATATGTAAACTTTAACTCTTAACTTTAAAGGCTGTTTTCTTTGTGCAGAGACAGATGTTACAAGTACAACAAAAACAGTGCTTTCTCCAACTGGATGCATCATACCTACAGTAGTAGGACGCAATGTGATTCCTCGACTTATTACATCTCCTGCACAGGGGCAACAATTACTAAATGGAATTTTAACTATAAACTCTAAAAATGTTGCACCTAAAAGATCTCATTCACCTTCCTCAGAAGAATGCACTAAAAGGCTTAAAGATATAGAAAAGGTAAAAACACACTTCAATACAGAATCAAAGAGAGACAGAGTTGGAGAGATGTGTATAGAGAAACTCCAAAAGACGCTGCAGGTAATGTCAACTTCAATTTTTAATACTTTCTTTGTAATAAGAAAATTTCAGCTGTCAGGATTAGTCTAATGTTTACTTACACAAACTCTGAACATTAGACTACACTTTTCAGATCTGATATGACAGTGTTTCATTCTAGCAAACCGATGACTAAATCCTAAGCTTTGATTATAGGCTCTTGGAAAGCTGGAAACACTTGCATCCAGTGATAGGTTTCGTAAAGCTCTAGAGAGAACAGTCTCATAGGAGCATTTAATCCGAAGTTCTATGAAACAGTTAAATAACCTGGAAAAGATGTATTTTAAAAATTAGGCTTGTGCTTTTTTATTTTGTTTAATGATTTATAAAATGAGCCCAAAAGTTCTTACTATTTCTTATTTTATGCATAAAAATATCAGCATTGTCAATTCTGGACTACCTTTTTGCTGACTGACCTAAATGCCATATTTAATAACTTTGATTATAAGGGTGGTATTGAAATATTTACCAAAGCCTTTTTTCTCCAAAATGTTCATTAGTCATACTAATTTGACTAAGACTCAATTTCTTTTACTTTTTTGAGTGATAGTCCCTATTGTATTCCATAGTGGGCTGTGCATGCACACCATGCATCTGGAGCTGGAGAATTTGAAAGCAGTGTTCAGTGGTATGTGCATACACCCTACCTCACCTGTGCCCCATCTGAGGGGATAGAGCAGGGTAAACTGATCACCATGTCTCCAGTTTCTTCTCACTGCTGCATGATCCAAGGTGGAAACTTGTGTGGATACAGATTTGTAGCTACATCCTACAAAATAAGAACTACATAGTTTAAAAATAGTTTTAACAGTGTATCACTTTATGGATAAATGGGGTGGGTTTGCTCATGATATTAAGATATAAGACTGTACCCAGGACCCCGGGCATCAAATACCATGGTTCTGATGGTAACTACCACCAGCGCTATCTGTACTGCTTTGGAAGCTCACATCATAGCCAATTGTTTCCCTAGCCATACTCAACCCTGCTTATAGAAGGTGAATGCCTGGATCTGCTGGGGAGAAAGATCTTAATCATCCAGTCTGCAGTTCAGGATAACCAGATACTAGGTGCTAATGGCTGAACACAATTTCCTGATCTACCCCAAATTTGCAGAGTTTACTCCCACAGTAGGACATGTAGGTACATGGGTTGGCTGTTCTTTTCCCTCAGAGGCATTATGAACAACAAAGGACAGAAGGTTCAAAAGTCCTGCTTCTCTACATCTCTGCAACTGGCTCAGCATCTTAAGGTCAGCCCTGGCCAATGTTGGTTTTGATGGGTGCTCGAGAGCAACAAAACATTAAGCCCAACTTGACCTAAGCCTGCCTAGCATTTTTTGGTTTTCAAGACTTAGACTACTGCAATAACAGACAAGTGGGAGCTGAATGTCATCCACTCTGGCTATGATATTTAGGATCCCAACTTCCTCCAAAACCACTGCCAACCCCTCTAAGGGCCACATTAGATTAGTCTCAAACAAGAGACTTGCTGCACCAAGGAGTGATCGAACTCCACTTTCCTCAATACTGAGGGAGAGGGATTTATTTGACTGACTTCATGGTACCTAAAAAGCAGCTTATTTCAAGACTACTCCTGTACTTCCATCTCAGCTACTACATTTGCACACTACAATTTTGCATAGCCATGTTGGCAGCTATAATTCCAGTCAGAAAAGGGCAAGTGGTTTAAGGCACTTGAGATGAAGGACCTTTTACTTTTTCACCTAAACATTCGTTCCCCCCCACAAAAGCTTCCTCAGATTCATGGTGGACTCCACCCATTTTCAGAACAAAGTATTCCCCTCTGGAATAGCAACTGCCCCCAGAGTATTTACCAAGATATTCCCAGTAGAGCCAGTCCATGTCTGATGTTGTGGTCTCATTGTCCTCAAATCCTAGAGAAAAACCTAATATTATCAACTTCCATGATGTTATACTTGGATTCAGTGTAAACACTGAAAAATCTGTTTTCTCTCTCTCTGTCTCTCTCTATCTCTATTTCATTCGGGCAATATTGAATTGTATCACAACAAAATCATACCTGCAGGACAGGTTCCAGACCATGAGCAGTATCACAGCCTACATTACAAAAAAGCCCCAAGTACTAGTCAAGTCACTTGTCTCGGCTAGATCATATAATGTTATGCAACTGTCATCCCATTTGCAAGACTCTACTTGATGTAATCTCCAAAACGCCAGTCAATGAAGCTCATGGTGACTGTTCTGACCAATCTAGTATCTTTCTTGCTATGGTGGACGTGGACAAATCCAAATCCATGCATACCTGACAAGGCTCCTCTTTCTCCCTTCTCCAGACAGGACCACTACTAAAGCTGCATCCCTATTGGGTTGTGGAACCACACACCTCAAAGTACCCAGACTTCTCACAAGTCCAAGATGTTCATCAATATCCTGGAGTTGCAGGCAGTCAGGAAGACATGAACATCCTTTCTTTCATTCATCCATGTTCACCATGTTCTTATGTCAGACATTACAACTGTCAGCTACATCAGTGTTTCTCAAACACTGTGAGTACTCCAGTGGGTCCACCAGCCCTCTTGATCAACTCCTCCTTCCTCCCAGTGCTTCTTGCATGCTGGGGCACGGGTGTTTCAATAGGTCCATCCAACCTTGTATCCCTTAAGATGGAATCATGAGGTAAGCTAGGCCCCGTGTGCACGGAAGGACATTACTTTTCTCTGGCTCTGGACACGAGTGGAATATGGATGGGAACTACATATCTTTAAAGAACTTCTAGTTACAGTTAAATATCCACTTTCAATTGCTCAGCAGTCACCATTACCTTTTGAGGTGCTATTGTTTAACTAGTTAAGTAAAGTTTCTAGGCAAAACATTAATTTTCATGTCATTATCAAGAAATACAAGCTCAATGTTTTGCTGGTCATCTTCAAAAAAATAAAACCACATTAGTCTAAGCAATAGTGACATAAGAAAGTAATGCCATTTCTATAGTCAAGCTGCATTAAACCCATACTTTAAGTATCTTAACTATGGAGTGCACAAAGTTATGGTTTATAGAATGATGGGAGAAATCTTGTTGAAAAATCTTGATATTGCAGGTACTATTCATTATGTATCTTAGCTGAAGTAAATAATCCCTTCCCCATCACTTGTAGTAAGTATTGGTAAGGCTATATTTTAGTCATGGGTATTTTTTTGCTAACTCATGGTTTAGTAAACAAAACTTCACAGCCTGTGGCCTGTCCATGACCTGGCAACATCTTTGACTCCTAAGCAGAGGCATAGCCAGGCAGCTGCAGGCACTGCCCCTGCCCTGAGCACTGACTCCAGAGCACCTGTTGGCTGGGAACCACAGCCAATGGGAGCTGCAGAGATAGAGGCAGTTCTTAGTGTCACCTAACTGTGTCCTCATGTAGGAGTTGAGAAGGGATGTGTCACTGCTTGAAAGAGCACTCACTGAGCAAGTGCCATTGAGCGCCCCCTTCCCCCCCATCTTGTGCTCTAGCCCTGAGATCCCTCCCACACTCTTAACTCCTACTGCTGTTTGGGGGAGAAGCACGTGATGGCCTGAAACGGCTCCAGCAGTGGCTAATCTGCAGTGGCCTGACTAGAGGGGTCCTGGAAAGTACCAACCCATGACTTCTGTGACAAACTTGCAGCCTTTGGTAAAGGTGTTGATAGTGCTACAGGAAAATATAGATGAAACTGATTGTCTAGAAGATTAATCATTCGCTCTGATTAGCTACAATTCTGTGGAGTGAGAAATTTGCAGCAACAGGTGGAAGGCCAAGTAAACTACAGAATCTTTTTTACAAAATGTAATAAACACCAACAGATGGGTTAGAAACTTGAGTTATTTATCCAGTTGTTGCACAGTTAACATTCGGTATGTACTTTGATATACTTATAAAAGGGATAATACACTGGAGAAAATGGCTTACCATAGTAGGGAAGATTAGGATGTCTTCCTGTAGGTTTTTTGTACAATATCTCTGGTGCAGACACTTAACGTGCTGGTCAGGTTAGCAGCAGCTGATATTGACCAAGCTCTAAATTATCTTTAGTTCCATTTCCCTGAAAATTGACATCAGTCCTCAATGCGTTAGGCATTAATATCTTTAATTTTTTTAAATAACTTTTGCTATTTTCACCTCCAATTTTGTACAAAGGGAAATACTATTTTTTAAATTTGATTATACATTTCCAAAAACTTTATTTCTCAAGCTCCTGTTGTGCCTCAGAAAAGTCCCAATCATGTGGCTTTTGCTTGTTTGAAGTTGAAGCAATGCTTTCTTCAGTAAGGACTGTTTGTACTCAACCAAGTTGAATTTCAGATATGCTCTCAACTCCCAATGAAAGCTTTACTCTTATCTGAGGGTAGTTTGGTCCTTAAGGCATTAGTCTGAAGGTCCTAGTCTACTCAGAGTATTTAAGGAATTTCACTTAATTAGTGACTTAAGAATATATGAATTAAAATCAAGCTTTTTCCATTTCTCTGTTTAACTACACATCGTACTGGGAAGCCAATGTGAAATTATTTGCTGGGAAGCCAATGTGTAACTTCATACTTTAAGTCTCTGAGCATTTGAATTATTTCTAGACCTAAACCTAGCACTGAGTGAATATTTTTTTTGTACAAAACTTATTGGATGAAAAATTTACTTGTGGTTAATCCAGTGTCAAAATTCAAATCGCTTTAACTTGCCCAATAACATCAGCCAAATTAAACATTTTCTAAAGTCTTTCTGTTAACTTCCTGAATTTTGGTGAGCTCAAACCAAATACATTCAGGACAGCCAGTAAGCCAAAAACAGAAGTTACTCACTTTATAACCAACAATTTAAAACTTGTCTCCTTCAAAAATAAAATTTGTCAACTTTCTTTAAAAAAAAAAAAAAAAAAAAAAGGCATCCCAATCTATAGGCAGAAGCTGGGTACTGATAAGTTCAGAGCCTGGATTTGTGTACAATAGCCATTCAAGTAAATAGTCTTTTTTATGTAAATTCAAACTTTGAGCAATTTTAAAGGCTCCCCAAGTTAGTTTTGCTAAAAAGTGTTAACTTGAGCAGGTGCATGCACTGATATTCATATCTTTTGGGTACATACGCAGGCCCTTCTTTATAGAAGAATAAAATAGCCCAGAATGCCTTCCACATAACAAATAAATGTCACGAGGCTTCTAAAGTTTCACAAATGCCTGTTCTATCTGTTTTTGGTACCAACTAAGAGAGCATTTAAGTATTTGTTCATTAGCTGAAATTTGTACTTTTCATATGCATGAACTTAATTGCAATGCATTCAGTACACTGTTCTTACCTACTTTGGGTTAGGAGAGCCTTGGACAAGAGGAATCCATGCCTATTCCAACTATTGACACATCAAGATCACAGGTACTGTCTGAGTCTTTGTTCACAGGTAAAGCAAAACTAGTGAGTAGTTCCTGTTTGCATTAAGATAATTGCTTACACATAAAGCCAGCTATTTAACTATCAAGTACTTTATTTGTTCATATATTATAGTTCTTTAACTCTTGCAGAAGCATTTGGTAACTGATTCTCATGCAAGCACTGTGCAGTGGAATTTTGGAGAGCGGCTTGAGCCGCTCTCAAACAGAAGCCCCAAATTGCCATTCTTTCTTAAGGCTCAGGCATAAAGCCAAAGATTGAGAAAGGAAAAACACTTCATTTGCGCACATAAGCATCTGTCTCCTACAATCTCAGGCATTCAAACTTCACAACCACTTAAAAAAAAACCCACTAGACCAAGCCCCTTTCTTTCCAAATTGTCATCTTACTGTTGCTAGAATCTATGCTCTGCTTCCATCACATTCTTCACTGAGTGCTCTGAGCTGTCAACCTACATATGACGTTTACAGGACTTCAATGTAAAAAACTGGATATACTAAAAAACATTAGCAAATCTAACAAATACACTTCAGAGGTTTGAAACCTATTTTTTCAGGTGCCCTCGATCTTAAAACTAGGCTAATCAAGATACAATCTGAAACTTACCTCACTACTTTTTTAACCTCAGCCAGTAGATTTTTGGACTGCCTTGTAAGATTGTCAACTTTCTAATCACACCACCATCTAATCACACACACAACCAAACACCCCTGTCCTTCCCCTTCTGAGGCCCTGCCCCCCACTCACTCATTCCTCTCCCTAAACCTCCTTCCCCCTCACTTTTTACCAGACTATTGTAGAGTGGGATGAGGGCTTCATCTGGGGGTGGGCACAAGGGGTTCAGAGTTGGGGAGCAGAGCAAGTTTGGTTTTGGGAGGAGGATCAGAGCTGGGGCAGTTGGCTGGATGTGGGAAGAGGTGAGGAGTGTTAGACTTTGCCTGCAAATGTCTAACTTCTAGTAGAGAAGTTAATCTTTCTGGCAGATAATCAGTATTGAGGGCATATTCTAGACCTCTGGGTTTGATGTGGTAGGTTACAGGGTTAATCTGTAGGTCTTGTTTACAGCTGAACAGTTTCATTTTCTACCCAACTTCTGTTAAATCATTCATGTTGACAAACATTTCCTCTTCCCCACTTAATTAATATTTTTCTATTGTAGAGACTTGCCAGTAAAGAACTACCAGATTCATCTTCTCCCATTCCAACAAATAATATTCGTGTCATTAAACATTCCATCAGATTGACCCTTAACCGGTAACTACAGTGCCTCTTCAGGTAAAGATAGTAGTGGTTGTTTAGTGGCTTAAATAAGCAATTTTTATACTGCAGTTGCTGTCCCACATAAAATATCGTTACTGTAACTGAATTAGAGAGACTTTTCCTGTTAATTTTTGTCTACATTTTGATCTGCAGATGCTGTAGGACACTTCCATTATTGTATAGCTTTTTCCAAGATCATCTCCAGACAAGCTACTGTCTACAAAATCATGGCTTTTGAGTCTCTTTTAAATTTTGCCTTTAGTTCAAATATTTTGTGCTTCTGACTGACCTACTTCTCACTTAGAACTCCCTTCCAACAGCAGTCCTGTTTGTTTTTTTTAAAAACTCTTGTGTTATAATCATTGTCTTGAGCTAAAAAAAATTGTTCTGAAAAATACAAAAAAATTGTCCTGTGATACCATTTTTCTGAATGTATGTAAACCTGTTTACTTCAGACACTGGAGTTACATTCTGGTTAAAAGTGTGCATATGAAAGTCCTGGTATTGTTTCTGCTTTCCTAATGGTGTAGATCCACTTTATTTTGTGGACTCCCAATTTTTTCTGGTTGAGCACACACTTTTGTCCATCAGTCACGCTAGTACTCATAATCCATAGGCAATTGCTTTCCTGTACTTAGCACATAGCCAGGCACTATGTAAGCTGTACAGCTTGTCTCCCATGGAAGCCCAATAAATCAATCTTTAATTTAAAAATGAAAATTCCTCCATTTAAGGTAATCTGCCAATATACGGACATAGTAGGAACGTTCTATACGATGGAATTTGATTCTTGAAAAATCTTATTCTGAAGCAGCCTGAGGAGCTCTTCCAGTTTTCACTGGCTAATTTAAAAAAAATTTCCCCACAGCAACAAATTAACTTACCCAAAATACTTAAGACACAGATTAATATTGAGACTAGGAAAGAACTTGTTGTAACATTACCATCTATTCATTCTACAGAACAATTCTTCACTGATTAGGCATGCAGAAACAGATACTAGCTTCACTGAAACACCCAAAAATATTTCCTTTTGCATAACCGTGTCTATAGAACTCTGGTTGAGAACTATTGCAGTCTACATGTAAACAATCTACATAATCATTATAACGTTTACCTGGTTAAATAGAATAGTTTCCAGGGGAAAAGGCAGTTTCTACAAACCAAACCCTAGACTATAACTTCTCTTGTACTTTGTTTAGTTTAATGTTTTGTAAAAGTTGTATGTATTTTGAAAGTGTTTTTGTATGTATTGTAAGATAACATCTTTTGAAAGAAAAGTTTAAAAACTTCAATTTCTTCTTTAGTCTACTTCTTTACGTAGCTCAAATCTGTTAAGCCCTTTTCACAAAAGCGTTTTGAAGAAAATACAAATATACAAAATACTTCTGCTTTGAATAGGATTCTAACTTGCAGATACAGTATTCCTTAACTGTAGTTTTCCTTCAGTACCACAGCTTTTATGGGTCAGCTGTATGAGCAACCAGGAACATTAGGTTTTGAGACAAATACTAAATAAAATCTTACCATGCAATGTGTGACTTCATTAGAAAGTAGTATGTCTGATGCAAAAATGTAGGGATTGTACTATGTGCTTAACAAGCTGCATCTGTCAGCTGAGTTGATCGCTGAAATACCAGTTCAGATACTGATAAGTGTGCCTGGGATTTTGGTGTCTGTCCATCCATCCGTCCCCCAAAATAGGTCAAAATTCCAGTTTATAACAGATCCAAGACATAAGGGACCGGAGCAAGGAAGAGAAATACATGTTTTGCCAGGCCTTCCTCATCTTTCCTTTTTAAACTCCACACAGATACAGATGATGTTTTAACAACATCAAATAGGGGAATCTTTAATTTGATGTTTCATCAGTGTTGCTGCATTTTCTCAGAACATAATGGTCTGGAAAGGCTGAGTCAAAGGGACTTGACACAGTACCCAAGTGCACAGCCACAATGGAACCAGAACCTCAGATAACTCAGTCTTATGCTGCATAAAATTTTATACAGAGCAAACGTAAGTATTCACCCCCTTTATCAATGAGAGAGACACCGCTATTGTCAATCCTTTCCCCCAGGTAACAATTATTTGCACTGTTAATAAAATATCTTGTTTAAGTATAAAAATCAAGCTATAAGTGGTTGTGTATATAATAGCAGACAAATCAAAGTAAAGGACTGCAACAAGAAACAAAATACCCTAGCTAAGCCTAATATTTTAGAAACTTGTTGCATGCAATTTCTTACCCACTAGTAGTTCTAATGTCTTCTCAAGCTGGGACACTTCCTAACTTGGGCCTGATCCTTCCCCCTGTTCGGTTCCAGGTGTTTGCAGAAGACATCTTTGATGTAAGCAGGCACATAATGGCAGCAGCCCTACTGTTGTGTTCACTGCCTTTATATCCCTGTTATCCAAGGCAGGAATCCTTTTGTGTTCTATTTGTACTTTTTCCACTGACAGTATGACAAGTTAGCATTTAAAATGGGTTCTAGGATCAGGTGCCCTGGCTTACAGGAAAAGCAAGACTATTCACAGATGTTCCTTGAGTACTATTGTGGCTCCTAATTTAACCTGTTTACTAATCTAGACATGCTAATACTTCATATTTCTAACTTCAAATAAAGCAATGCTACATACACATAGAATATACACAATTTACAGATTTGAGTTGTCATATTCCTATTCAAACATATTTCCATAAAAATACATGCTGCACTGTTCCCAGTCAGTACTGGGTCCAGTATTGGACTTGGATAATAGCTGCACATTTTATACTGTCCACTCTATCAGCAATAAGCTGTAAAAGTCAATATTAAAATTCAAATTAGAGAATTGGTCTGAAATCAAGATTAAATTCAGCAAAGGCAAGTACAAAGCACTACACTGAAGTGGGGGAAAAGTCAAGTGGGTAAGTAGTTATACTGTTGAAAAAGAGGTGGGGAGTTAATGGATCACAAACTGAAAATATCAATATGATGCAGTTGTACCAATCAGGTGTATTAATAGGAGTGTCATATGTAAAGACAGGGGGTGATTAATTGTCCTACTCTGCCTGGCATTAGTGCATTGTCATCAGGATTACACTGTCCAAGGAGCCGTGCTTTAGGAAATGTGGGTAAATGGGACGGAGCCAAGGGGCCTGTTTAATCTTGAAAAGAAGACAGAGGGAGAAGAATCTTTAACTTTGTTAAAGGCTATAACAAGGAGGATGGAGATTACTAGATCCTCATTAACAATTAAACAGGAGAAGTTAACAGGACTTTTGCAAAGGAGTTTAGAGGAAGAGGGGTACAGTGTGAAGCTAGATACTGTACTTGTAACATTCTTTACACAGCAGGCCCAAAATACTTCCTGATTCTTAATTTAAAATCAACAAAAGAATACTACTGCAGCTCAAAGTGGGGGAGGAGGGGGGAGAGGGGAAGGCAGATAGGAGTCTGGCACTAGAATGAGGGCTATCTAGTCTATTGCACCCACTGCAGCATGTATAATTATCTACCCTATGGACAAGTGCTCTACATGTGCATTTTGTGCAAGGACAGTGGGAAATGATCCTGAAGTTCTGGCTTTCCTTCCAGACCGATGTGACTGAGGAAGGGGGTGGGGAGGGTGGCACTGACTATGTGACTGCTCTCCCCTCCTTCCAGCACCACTGGGGGAGGGCTAGGACAATGCCCTCTTTGCCCCAGGCCCAACCTTTCCCCTACTCTGTCCTATACCCCTAGTAATGTAGCCTGTGGGTGTAGCAGGAGGGGGGCAGGGAGAAGTGGGGCTGGTGCTAGCAGCCGTGGGGGAAAAGCAGAGGAATGTGGCTCCACTCCCTGGCTATCACTCCAGTGGCTATGTCTAGACTGGCATGATTTTCCACAAATGCTTTTAATGGAAAAGTTTTTCCATTAAAAGCATTTGCAGAAAAGAGCGTCTAGATTGGCACGGACGCTTTTCTGCAAAAGTACTTTTTGCGGAAAAGCGTCTGTGCCAATCTAGACACAGTTTTGCGCAAGAAAGCCCCAATCGCCATTTTTGCGAGCAGGGCTTTTTTGCGCAAAACAATACCGTGCATTTGTGCAAGAGGGCTTTTGCCCAAACGGGAGCAGCACAGTATTTCCGCAGAACACTGACAATCTTACATGAGATCGTCAGTGTTCTTGCGGAAATTCAAGCGGCCAGTGTAGACAGCTGGCAAGTTTTTCTGCAAAAAACTTGCCAGTCTAGACACAGCCTGGTGAATGTGAAAGGAGGGTCCTGTCCCTCTCACAAACAATGTCATCAACAGCTGGACGAGCAGAGCTGGGTTGCTCTGTTTCCCTCTGTGGCTGCCAATGAGGGCAGAGGGGTCTGCCCCCTGCTGTGAGCACCAACCCTTGCTAATTGCCCTTGCCACTTAGATGTTCTGGTCCCTTACCCTTTCCCCCTGGGTCATTTTGGGAGTGTGGCCCCACACATTGCCAGTGCTTCCAGATAGCGTGGTATTTTCTCATACTGAGGACATCTCTCTGGAGAAAGTAACTTCAGTTACTAGGAAGATACAGGTAATAGTTATGAGGGATTTGATCATTAGACACAGTTGGGCATATGCCTATGAAGTAAGACAGGCACAACTGTAGGGACTCAATCTGTGGATGAGACAATGGGGTAAGGAGAAGGGGTTTAGATTTATTAGGAACTGGGAAAAATGAGGGAAGTGGTAACCTATATAGAAAGCATAGGCTTAACTAAACCAAAATAGAACCAGATTTCTAGCACTTAAAATGAAAAGGTTATAGAACAGTTTTAAGGGCTGGGGGAAAGCCAACAGGTGTGGAGTAGCATGTGGGTCAGACAGAGGCAAGGCTCTAGTAATGGAGATTCTATATGTTCAACTATGGTAAGGATGCAAGATAAAATAGGGGTAGGACCTGATGAAAAACAGTCCCGTTCAATTATATCATGTAATGCCAAACATCTAAAAAGTGACCATTTTTAAAGAGCTCAAATGAGCATAACAGCCATATTGGGTCAGACCAAAGGTCCATCTAACCCAGTATCCTGTCTTCTGACAGTGGCCAATGCCAGAGGCCCCAACAGAGGGAATGAACAGAACAGGCAGTAATCTTGGGAGCGGGATTCCTGAAACTGAGCCATTCTCTTTAGGTGACACATCTGAGGACCTGTCCCAGACTGAGGTGTCATTAAAGGTGGTTTTGGAATAAATTGATAAATTAAACAGTAATAACTCCACAGGACCACACAATATTTACCCAAGAGTTCTGAAGAACTCAAATGTGAAATTGCAGAACTAAGTAGGGCTTGTAACATATCGTTTAAATCAGCTTCTCTACCAAATGACTGGAAGATAGATAATGTAGTGCCAATCTTTAAAAAGGGCTTCAAAGATGATCCTGACAATTACATCCAGTAAACCTGACT